AAACACTTCTTACCGTGCTGGAGGTCACTAAAGCACACCAATGCTCTGTGAGACTGTGAAGGAGTAGCACTGACCTGTGCATCATGATTCCTGCCACCAAAATTTTCTTAAAGCTCTCAAGGATGGTTACACTATTGTTCCTTTCAGCAATAGTGCTGTAAACAAAACTGCCTATGTTTTCACATTTACTGAATGTTATTCTTGTTTCTGGATTGTTTGGGTGGGTTTTTTTTGTTTGGTTTTGGTGGGTTTTTTGTCTAATGAGCAAGAAACTGTTCACAGACAAAGCTGATCAAAGCTGAGACAGCTACTCCATTCTCCTGGGACCTGTGTCTACCTTAATCAGAAACAGCAGCTGAAGTGCTGCAGGACTGCATGATGCTTGGGTTGCACACCACATCATGCAGAAGAGGAGTGGCTTGGGTTTCTGGACTGTTTTGATTAATGAATTCAGTGGCTGACAATTCATCATGGTATGCAAGCATGCATGTTCATGAGTCTGACCTTTTAACTCCTACTTTTGTCTTTTTCCATGATCCCTCTCACTATCTGCTTAGTGTTTCACAGGGGAATTTGTGATTTCGTTTAGAATTCAAAGATGTGCCTTTTCCTTCATATTTTGGATGTGTCCAGCCTTGTAGTTCCAGTAAGTTCCTACCTAACAAAGGAGAATTTAGCATAAACAGGCACCAAAAACTTGGAATCTTTTAATGCAACTGAAAACATCAACAAAAGGCTCCCCAAATGATGGATTTTGCTCCATTGCTCAAAATCCAAATAGGCAAGAATCCATCAGTATTATTTTATGTCAAAAGTCAAGAATGTCAAGCATTTTTAGAACTGCTCATCCCTACTCCACCTGCATAGCAAGGGGATTGCTGACACAGTGCCCAGATACAAAAACCACAAATGAAAGTACTCTGATTTTTGCTAGTGCTTAGGAAAAATAAACAATACCCAACCCAACCTGACAGAATCACTGAGAAAAATATATAAAGACTGTAATTTCAAGGCATATGTCTCCACAGGGAAGAAATCAAAAACTGAAACAGCTTTTTTTTCTTTTTATTTTCTCAAGTATTAAAAATGGAAAATATATGTCTTTCTGCAGACCCAGACAGTGGTTTTAAGCCTGGTTTTATGTAATGTCAGCCTCACTGAAAGATCTGTCTGTAGACATCTTCCCTATTAATTAGCAATTTACTGGCCATCTGTGGAAAGGGATAAGCAAATATGTTTTTCATTTAAAATGAAGCTGAGGAATTAATTGCTTTTACTTCCCCTAGTAACTCATCCTTCTCTCTATATATACACACACATACACTCAATAAAGAAAGTGAGGCAAAACCATGCAGGTCAGTTCAGAGATGTGAAGATAGATACTTTCCTTTGTAAAACTACAATTCAACATATGTTCAGAAAAAGCAGCTACACAGTAACAAGAAACACAAGCTTCCACAGAAAAGAAATCATTAAAAGCAGCCACTGGGTATTTCATCTCTATTTTAAAATAACTTGATCCACCCAAACAGATGTGCATTATTTGAGGTCAAGAATCAAGAGCAATTTTCACCTGCCCCCTGCAGTGGAGCTGACTAAGTGACAAAAGATCCCTGGGGTTATGAGTGTGCCACAGCCCCCCACAAATCTAATTAGGGGCTTCACCTTCCCACATCAAAATAGCCAACAGCAAGACACTTTCTCTCTGAAAACTGCAGCCACAATGAGGCCAGCAGGACAGCATGTGCATCCCTGCATTGGAGAGCACAAGAACACCTCCCTGCAGGAGGAGGCCCTGAAGCAGAGACCAGGGCTGCTGACACAAGGCCAGGCTTCCTTAAACTTTGTCCCCAGTGTAAACACAACCAACAAATCCAGCCCCACAGGCTCAATGCCCACACACAGCTTATTCACCTCAATGATGCCTTCCCAGTGTCTGTGCACAACTAATATCATATACCCACTCCTACAAGCTACATACATTACATTTTTTACTGGGTCAACATTTGCATTCAACTCAGCCAACATTCCCACTGCTTCAGGACAGCTTCACTAAAGTATTTCTAAATTTTTCATTAAAAGCTACCTGGATTTATTATTTACCATAATAAAAGCTTGAATAAACGAGAAAATGGAAGTGGTCCTGCCTAGTTTTTTAAACAGCTATCTGGTATCACAGCAAAGTACTACTACTGGTGGTCAGTGTATATACAGAGCCAATGCAACACAAATGAAATTCTACCACAGGATCAGCTCTACAGAGAGAGTAAGCAGTGAGCAGAAAGGGACATACCCATGGCTGAGCACCAGAGCAAACCAGATTTTGTCTTATGGAAGATGGAATTACAGAGTTAACTCCATCCCTCTGGGCACAAGCATACTAAAGACACATGGAAAGACACTAATAATGAACTGCTTATGCTTTCAAATATCTCTAATATTCTGAGCCTTTCTGGCACAAACACCCCATTTGGATGTCATCACAGGCCTGTACTTACTGTAGCACAAACCCTTCTGTCAATTTGCCAGTGGAAAAGACAGCAGTGCAAGTCTTAAAAACACTTGTTTACACAACAAGTCCTCTTCAGAAACACAGGCTCAACAGACAACAATCCAAGATCAAAGAAAAAAGTATCACTACCATTCACACCTTTCTTCTTCAGAAACTATTCAAGCTACAGATCCACTAAACCAAAACAAAACTAGAAACCAAGTTGCTAGAAACAAGGACCTGAAAGCCTTGCAAAGCCACCACACACCTGGCAATGTACACACCATGACCAGCCTTTCCCAGAGGCACAAGAACTTTGCACAATCAAATCCATTGGATTAAAAATAATTCTGAGCAGGAAGGACTCACACTTCTAAAAGCAAACTCTTCCTTTCCCTCTACCTGATGCCAACATCTGCACTCCGGGGAAGCAGCTCTTGAGTGCCCCTACCAAACCATGGAGGCACAGCCTGTGGAGCAAACTGAAGCCAAATCATCAATACCAATAATCAGAGGGAGGGTGCAAAGGCAGTGCTGCGACTTTAAACTGATCCAGGACCCACAGAGATGCAGCTTCTGTGACAGCCACCAGTGGAGGGCAAGTCCCTGCCATGCACTGCACCCTGACTTGCTGCAGGACAGCCTCACACCCAGCCCATGCAAGGAAGGTGGGGCTTGAAGGCATTTTCACACATGTTCACCTTCTCCATCACCATTTCCAGAAAACTAATTTTCTTTCAGAAATAAAAATAAAGTAAAAATTTCAAAGGTGTGAAATTGTGACTGTAAGCTTAGCTGGCCACAGTGTTGTTTAAGCCACTAGTCTTTTGATACAGCACTTATTGCTATTCAAATGAGCAGAGGATAAAATACACAAAAAGAAAGGTTATAATTTTCTTTCTGCTCATCTAAATGAACATTATTTATGCATAAATTCAGTTTCTTTCTGCCACATTGTCATATGAAGAGCTTGGAACAGGTGCAAGTCCAAAATAATCCCAGGTACATTCATGACTTTTTGAAGATTATGCTTAATCATTATTCATAGTACTAAATAATAATACTGACTAATACTAGCTGTTCTTGTTCTAGCTAGTATCATGGTCATAACAATAAGCCAAAGATCAGGATATTTCCTGATAAAATGGGCACCTTCATCAGGAAATATGCTTGGAAGCCTGATTTGTGCTACACCACTAAATTGTCTAATGCACCTTCTCATGAGAAAACTGCAAAATTTTATCCATATTTTATATAAATTTCCCTTCTCCTACAGGGTGTTTTATTAGGATGATGGGACTCTTGGCAGACGAAAAAGCTAGAAAAACAAAATTAACAATCTTTATAGCTCAAATATCCCAATCCCTGTGTGATCAACAATGTATGTCTTGATAGTTTTTTTCACTAACCTTCAGCAGACTTAAGGCTACGCACATAATCTCAGTGTGTGACTTCAGTGTTGCTGTAAAAGGACACATCAGAATCAAAAGTTCACATTTCTGCAGCAGGCACTGTACTGCTAATTGAGTTTCATTATGTATTTGGTTTTAATTTTCTGCTTAGCAAGGATTGACTTTCTCCTCCTCGGGATGCAATGTTACCATACAGAAGCTTCTATCTTTCTCCATACAAGAACAACTTTTCCCATGGACAAAGCAGATTTTTTTCCTTAATTTGGTTCAAGCTCCACCCTCATCTAGAAAACCATGACCTAGTTTAACAGCGGCCACCATATGGTTCTTAACTCCAAGTAGCTCTCAAGGCATTCTGAATGCAGATCCTGCACTGAAATGACAACATGGCCAAAAGCTGGACAGCTTGGCAACATGTACCCATTCTAACAAGGATGTCTGAGCCAGAGGTGCCCAAGCACAGGAGCGTCCCCCTTGCTTCAGGATATGTCTCTGTGCTCAGCCCACGGCAGAGTTTGTGGCTCCTAAAGAGTCCCAGTTCCCTCTCCGTCAGAAGATGATGCTCCCAGACCTCCTCCCCCTTATCAAATGTATACAGCTCTCAACATGAAAAGAGCTTGCCACATACTAAAATGGAGGCAAAAAGGTACAATAATTCTTAACACTTCAGTCTTTAAGCATTTTATGGACATTACTAGAGCATATTGAGATGATATGGACAGAATATTTTTTCCAAAACCACTGAATTTTTGCTAGTCACAACAATACTCCTATTTGTGATTTAAACCTAGCTGTTAAGAAAGTGTGTAATATATACTGCCACCAAAAATATTTTTAGCTGCCTCACATTTACAGGGTTCCAGATGTTCTTATGAAACCAGCATTGATGACATGCAGCTACTTGGTGTTGTGTACTGATGTGCGGAAGCAAACAAACTCCACAACTTTGTGAAAGCTGCAAAGCCGGTATGTTTATTGCAGCCTGGACACATGTGGGGACTCAAAGATGTACATCTCAACTAAACCTAAATGGATTTCTACTCTGGCAAATTTCCACTCTCTCTCAATACAAGAAAGACAGAATCTCTAATACTTACAGCCAATCATCATCATAGCCACGGCAAAGATCTTCTCCCCATCCGTGGTGGGAGCGATGTTCCCGAATCCCACGCTGGTCAGGCTGGTCATGGTGAAGTAGAGCGAGGAGATGTAGACGGAGTCCTTGCTGGGCCCGCCCTCCCACTTGCCAAAGCCGGAGGCGTTGAAGCGGTAGGGGGTGCCGATGGACTCCCCCAGCTGGTAGAGCCAGCTCTCGGTGCGGATGGTGTTGGTGTCCTCGTCAATGACCTCGTAGTCGCCGATGCTGTACCAGATGCAGGCCAGCCAGTGCGCGGCCAGCCCGAACACGCACACCAGCAGCACCAGCACCGCCGCCCCGTACTCGATGTAGTGGTCCAGCTTGCGCGCCACGCGGCCCAGCCGCAGCAGCCTGACCACCTTGAGGGAGCTGAACAGGCTGCTGATGCCCTGCAAGGACAAACAGCAGCGCCCATTAGCAATCCATGGGAAAGCAACAATACTTATAACTGCGGCTTCCAAAGAAACAAGGTGATCCACAAAAAAACAGATAGTCACCAGGTAACTGTAAAACACAAAAAACTTAGTGACCCTTTCCAGGGATGAATATATGCACCCTTGCCTTCATCCACTGCCATCTTGTGCAGTGCTCTCTGAACTCCCTTTTCAGATTATTTGAACAGGTTTACCAATACCTTAGTAAAAACTTCAAACGACAGGCTGTCTATTCCATATCCAGCTGTGAATTCTTATGCAACATGTCAGATGTAATGTCTCAGATATAACAGAGATTACAATATTTAGCTCAGGTATATCAGAAAGATAAATAAGGCCAAAAAATACCGGCAGTACCTGGCAATTTGTAGTTTTCCTATTTCCTACAATGCATTTCCTGTGACTTCACTCTCCTATACAAATTCATGCACTGATAATCAGTCCTCTGACATTTCTCATATGAACTACACAAAGCTTAAATATTTCAAATATCTCACTAATCCCCAAATTATATCCTTTTTATGACAGCTTTGATATCAATGCAGTATTTCTGTACTGAAAATAATATGGCTCCCATGAAACAGAATTAAGCCAGCATGCAGGATTTTGTATTGTTAACTTTTATACAAATTTGCACAAGAAGTCAAATTAAAAAATTCAAACCCATTTGGAGCATGAGAAGATCTGAATAGCTTATCATAAAAATCCTTCCTTTTTTTTTTTTTTTTTTACTTCCTCTTACCAAGACTGTTTCATACATAGAAGTCTGATTAAAATTTAAGCAGACTGGTTTAATGAGTATTTCTGGAAATGCATAATTGCATACTTCTGGTCACCAGCTTTTACTGGAAGTTTGTTTATTCCTGCATAAATACAACTGCCTCAGTATCTCAGGCTGCTTCAGTGCACTAGAAAAGATGTTTTATTAAATAATTACATAAAGTATATTGACTCATGTTCCCCAAGACTGCAGCAATATATTTTCCCTTTATTTCATGAATTTGTCATGATTACATTGACTCATTTTCAGAGACAGATGTAATTTGTTACCTGGGAACACACTAGCAATTTCTATTAAGTATCTGGACAAGATCTAATGCAACCAGGGGGTGGGGAGTAAAAAGAGAGAGAGAGATTAAAAAAAGAAAATAGAAAGCAGCCTTCCTTTAAGTCAGAGATATTTCCAGAAATCTAGAAAAGAGCAAGTGAACTATTATTTTAATGAATATCTAAGCAAAACTTTTCAAGTCGCTGATACAAAAATTGCTACACAAAGTAAGTTAATTTCCATTTCCCATTCATTCCATACCCAGCTTTGTTTTGTAAACGCTGGAGCAAAGCCTCAGTGCCAATTCTAAAAATATGACACAAAAGACCTTAATTTCCAGGGGAGGGAAAGCAGGTATTTCTGAACACTCATATGGAGAGGAAAAGCAAAGCGGAAAATGCAAAAAATTATAACCACATATTAGAATTGGATAAAGTCCTAGACTGACAAGCACATTTAGTCTCTGCATTTTAAATATTCTGACATTACAATACAGCCTTTTGGCTTTTTCCCTCAGGGCTCATGCCCACTTCTCCCTGTTCTCTTTGCAAACCTTAGCAGTGAAACACTCATTTTTTTCATTTTGAGAGGTCTCCAGCAGTGATGCTCTTTTAGCTTCAGTCTTAAAACCAAGCCTTTTAATCACACACTGCTTCAAAATCTCCACCCCAACATCCAAGAAAGCGGGCTTGTTTATGTTCAAAAGCAGTGGTGCAAAACCTGTTCTTCAAACTAAACATATCCCTGTGATTAAAAAATAAACCCCAAAAAATGCTGTTTGTCAGCATGAGTCCTACCAAAGCCAAAAAATAATAATGGTTTAGGAAGGACTTAATAGCTTAGAGTTTGGTTAATTCTTAATTAAAAATTAAGAATTAAAAATTAAAAAGAGTCAAGGATTAGAAATACTTGGGGAAAAGAAGGATCACAGAAGAGGAGCTCAAGAAATTGGATATGAAAATTGGGAATACTAATTAAAATACATTAAATCAGATTTTAAAAGTCTAAGGCAAAATACTTTTTTCAAGCATTCTCTTATCCTACTTTCCCTTGTGGAATTCACTAAAAGAAATTTTATTAAAAAAAATTAAATGGGATTGAACTGCATCATTTGAGAGAAACTGATTCTACCAAATTCTTACCAGAGATAGATAGAATTAGGCTTTTTGTACAAGAAGAACTTGAATATTTACAAGAAACATATACTTGATTTGGTAGCACTGGAAGGATACATTTAATATTCAAATGACTCCTAATACTCACCTGACTGCATTGCCAGTGAGATTCTAAAAGTTCAGAAAAAGCTCTATAAAAAAACCTCAAATTTATTTTTATTTTTATTTCAGTGTGAACAGTGTTCTCTTTGCTTTCCTCAAAGGAAAGGATTTGTCTATCCTAAATGGACGAATATCAAGAGCAAGAACTGCACAGGGAAATGATTATGCATATAACTCTTAAAAATTTCTAAGTAAAAGAATTTCAAATGGTTACAAACAACTGAAACTTAATAGACTGTTTCACAGATTATAAAGTAAGGAAAAAAATCAGATAGTCCTGCAATACTTTAAATCAGTACTTTTTGGCACAAGATTTAGCAAATTATATTTTAATGCTCACTGGAATAGATCTGTTGGATTGAAAAATTGACAATTTTAGATTACCACTTTCCAAAATAGAACTGTACTTTTAGATTATTGTCCATTTTAATGCTCTTATCAGTGCAGATTATTTTTATGCTTTTATCGTACAGATGGCTCCATGATGGCACGCAAAGGAGCCTGAACTCAATTTACTTCTCTTGATGTGCGTCCCACCCTCTTGGTCTGCTGCTCCTGCCAGCTTTGAGAGGCAGATGAAGAGATCCTTGTGCCCAAAGGAAACAGGAAAACCTCAGTTCATGAAGAGCTAGAAATGGCACTGCGTGTCCCAAGCAGGCTCCCTCACATCACCATAAGGAATGTATACGTGGCAGCCAGGGAAAGGATAAGTAATGTTCCATGGAGTTCTACTGCATCTGATTTATCCCAACAGTTGCAACTACTGGTACTCTATCCAACAGAAAACATTCCTTGAGGCTATGCAAAAATAAATTTTTAAAAATCTATTATATGGCCAGAACAGACACATAGTATATTTTTTTACAGAGAGAACTTGGGTGCAGTGCTCACTTCAACATGCAGCACTTGGTCAAGTGTGTCAGAAAATACTGAATTTTGCACACACTTGTATTTCAAATGTTTTGAAGCAACCGAATGAGACTAAAAAATTCTACTGCTGATACCTGTGTATTGATGTTGATAAATATTTCATAGGTTGGCAGGTTTACTCTCATTGCCAGTGATGGCTGCTGCATAAAAAGGAAGAAAATGTAGCCAGTCCCCTCCAAACCAAAGGGGAAGCTCAAGGCACTGAGACACTGAAGAAATTATTCCATAGCCACTGACTGAGCAGACTTGAATGTCAAAAGTTCTTAAAATAATAAACACAACCACTTCCCCTCCCTCTCCTTCTACACATTCTTTGCAGAGTAGAACTGTACCCCAAAAACAGAAAAACAGAACAGCCTCAGTCCCAGAGGAAAGCAGTGCCCATATTTTATATTCAAAGCCAAGACTTCATAAGTTTGTCCATTAAGTACTGCCAAAAGCAAATTTCCATGTATAATTTGTCATTAATTAGACTTCCTTACTATATACTGTGCACATTTACACAGGTTTTCTTCTGTATTTCCTTGCTTTCTGCAAGACCTAATCTATTGTGAGTGCACCCCTGGTCTCACACTGATACCTCAGCATGTAAGCAGCCTTCTTCCCAAACACAGGATCCAGGACATCCCTGTTTTGGCTCTACCTCTCAATCAGACAATACAAGATTTGTGCTGTTACTTCCACACCCAGACAAACAGACAGAGGCACTGTGAAAACACAAGGGCTGTAAGCAGAGCCATTATTGTTCCTTGTGTCTTTGTGGTCCAAGAACAGTAACAGTGGACACACAGTGATAGATGCTGTACAGATAAAAGCAGTTGCTCCTGTTCGTTTGCCATGTAAAATTAAATTCAGCTCAATTCATTGACTAAAAGAAGTCCACCTAGAAAAAAATTAAAATACAAATTGTTTAAAGAACAGCCATAAAACGTAACTGAGGTCACCCCACCTGCCCCCCCAAAAACGTGAGAAATACTTAATTTTCCATTCCAAACAAGATGCAGCATGAATAACTGCAGAAAATAACTAAAATGCTGCATTCACCCCACCTCCTACAGCTGCAGTAGCACAAGTGCTTTAGTAATAGATTCAATCTACATGACAGTATTCACTTTTTAGGCCATTATTCACTTTCTACATGTACAGAAAGAAAATGCACTTAACCCAAGCATTAAGATTTTTTTTCTAGGCTCAAAGGCAGGATAATTTACTTCCTACTTACTACCTATTTTTAAAAAGAGAAATATTCAGTATTGGCACAAATCTTTCCTAAGTTTTTCAGCACTTTTCTCTCATATGGAACTGCTAAAGTTCAGGCTTCATCTCAATTAATGGGAGATGCAGGAGACTAAAAGCTAACCATTAAAAGATAGAGAATTAAACAGACAAAAAAAATAAATTATTTATTCCAAAAGTGGAGGCAATGAACCAAATTTATCACTACTGTGAGGCAAAAGCTGCAGAAAGCACTGCCTTCTTTCTTGACACTTTGTTTGAAGCCAGCCATGCCACAACCTGGCTCTGCCTATCTGCAGTAACCTGGCATCTCTGTCAGGCCGCCATTAGGACTACACATTTCCATCATTTGTCTCCTCTGGTTTTCTTAATTAGGTCTGAGAACATGACCTTTTCTACAGATGGCCATATTTAGCAACCAAGAGATGAGATAGCGTTATGTGCACAGGTCAAAATCAATATCT